TCACTTAAATCTAGTAATAGTTAATATTGTTGAAAAGTAAAATTGTATTGATTCACTTAAAGCTAGTAATGTTTAATGTTGTTGAGAAGCGTCACTTATATCTAGGTGGATACTTTGAAAATTTAAATTTTTATATTAAAAAACAAATTAATTTCTTTGAAAACTTTTTGTTTCCCTTTTTTGAAATATTCGTTTAAATTTCACAATGTCAATTCGTACAATGTCAAGCTAAGGAGACGTATTTGTCGGTGCGCTGTAGTAACTTCACATTTAGTCCGAGTTTCCGTTGATATATGTATATATTGCCATAATTTAATTTCAAGCAAAGCTTAAAATGTCAACAAGAAGCAAAGTTACGCGCCAAACGGTATCGACACCGCAGAACAGTTCTCCCAATAAAGCTGGAAAAAAGAGAGCTCGCCACCAGTGTTGCCAGAACTTTTTGGGCCGACCGGCTAGATTGGCAAAAAAAGCGGCTAAAAACGGCTAAAATGTTTTAGTGAAAATTCACATGCTTTATTTAAATAAATCGCAAGAAACGAAAGACTAGTTAACACCATTAATTTATATCGAGTGTATATTCCTCATCATCAAATGAATCACTATTGTATATATCACCTGAATTCATTAATTTTAAGAGATCGTCATCTACAGTAAAATTATGGCAGCATTTTTCTTCACGTTTTAAACCGTATCTTATATATAAAATAGCGTTTAACGTTTTAACGCACATTGGATTTCTTTGCTTAGTTTTTATTATATTCATTGAACTAAATATTCGCTCTACTTCTGCATTACTTATAGGCAAAACAAGAAAACTAAAAACTAGGTTGCAAAGGTCAGCAAAAGGGTTTTCTCCTAGGGCATTTCGAAATTGATAAACTTCGGCCCAAAATTTTACAGTTGAGTCTAAATTACTCCAGGTATGTAACGTTAACCGTTGCCATTGGATCTCTATGGATGTTATTTCGTCGGCATTATATTTGTGTTTTTGTTGCTGTAGTTGAACAAATACTTTTGGTTTAATTACTCTTAATGCATTTCCAACCGAAAAAAGTCAATTTTTTTAGTGTGGCAATATTTGTAGGGAGGCGTTGGCGTAATTCCTTTATTAAAGTGATAATAAAATAGCGATCATTTTCTCGAATTATTTTCTCGGCTTCGTGGTCAAAAGCGTTTGTGCTTACTTTTGTTTTTAAATACTCTTCAAAACTGTGATAAAACTGAGGAAATGGAGCAAGGTATGGTTCCAACGGGGAGCATATAGGATCAAATGTGTCCGCGCTAATAACCACTAGGGAGCATAGATGCGAAAGTAAAACATTGAGTTCAATAAAAATCTTCATTGGGTCTGCATTATTGCTTTCGAACAACTTGTTTACTTTTTGCACCTGAAAATTAGGCAAATAGTAAAATCGGCTAAAAACGGCTAACTTTTTTTTACAAACCGGCTAACAAATCGGCTGCCGGCTAGATCGAATTTTCTCCGGATAGTTGCTATCAAAACCGGCAACGCTGCTCGCCACCGTCATCATGGCTTGAGCGTATTGAAGAGACATGCAGCTGGCGAATCTTCGAAAGGCGCTGCAAAAAATGGAAGAACGTGTGACAAAGGCAGAATTCCAAATCGCGCAGAATGAGCAATTGAAAAAGGAAGTGGTGCTACTTAAGAACGAGGTAAATGATTGCCAAATCCAAGCTGTATCCACTGATTTTATCATCAATGGTCTGCCCTACGTTGACAAGGAGAATTTGGAAGCTACCTTTGGTAGTCTGTGCCAGAGTTTGGATTTGCCTGCGCTTCAGATTCGCTCTGCGTTTCGAATATTCAAACAGAACAACTCCACTGCTTCAGTGATTGTGAAGTTGGCGTATTCAGCCGATCGCTCCACCCTTTTCAAGTCAGTAGCACGCTTCTGCAAAGAAAAAAAAACGGCCACTAATGCTCCGTGATATTGGCTCCAACTCAGATGGGAAAATACATATACACAAGTGCCTTACGAAAAACAACCGCGCGCTAATGCGCTTTGCAATGCAGCAACGAAGAGATAA